CTACCTCAACCTCATTCTTCAAGCCTCTCCTTAAAGCTCTGCTTTGCTGAGTTGCTAAAATCCGGACGATATCTAGGCTACACACATGCTGAGACTGTGCTGTCACCTTCTTGTATTACTTCCCCTCTCAGTGGTATCTATCAAATAATTTTTTTTACCCTACAAATTTTTAAAGTCAAAGGCCATCTTTTCATTGTGTGTTCTACTGGACCCCAAATGTGGGGGTTAGCCAGAACTTTGAATATGGATTTCTGGTAATACAGATATAGCAATAACAGTCAATCACTTGTCTTTCTTTTGATAAGCAGTTGAGAGCATTTGGAAAAATCTGTATTGTACAAATTCTGAATGACAATTGTACAAAGTCTAAAATGACTTGGAATTACTTTTGGGAAATGGAGGCAGCTGATGGAACCACAGGAGGGGAGGGGAAAGGCACAGCTGCAAGGCCTCATTTCCTTGAGCTGATAACAGGCAGAAGAACTCTACCCTGGAAACATACAGGAAGGATGGAAACACCATTGCAACCAGCTTGAGACCACTTGGGAACTCGAGGTCACCAGTCAGCTTCTGTTGCTAAGCCAACACCTGGATTAGTGGCAGCATACCTGATGTATCGTTTCAGGGCTTTCTCTCAGACATTTGGTCTCTTCCTTTCCTGCAGAGCGAAGGTGGTTCTTCTCCCTCCCTCTGACACCTCCCACACCTACAGTTTTCACAGGGGTTTTCTGCCTTCACCCACAACTCAACAGTTCTGCAGAAACTGGGCATTAGGAAAAAAGCATCAAGCAACCTGGCTAGGAAGTTGGCTTGCCTTCCAGTCCCCCAGCTGCTGTAATAGTGCCCTTGCTGCTAGCACTGGACATAGGGCATGCCAACAAGATGTTGCCTTGCAATGATGCTGGCACCTTACAGGTTTTTGCTTGGTTCCTGGCTGATAATCAGCTTCTTGCCTTCCTCCTGTTGCAGGAAGAACTGGCAGTGTTCAGAGATGATGGTCACTGGGAAGAATGATGAACAACTGCTATGTCACTAAGAATCCCCTCGCCCAGCCATTCTCACTGAAATTGCAAAGTGCTTTTGCACTTGCCTCATTTTTGTGCCATTCTGTCATTGTCTGCTGTCCAGCACCAAAAGGAGCTGAGGTTTGAATTGACCATGTCCATTTTGCTACATGGTCTATCAAAACCTTTGTATTGACCTACATAAGAGGAAGAGAATTTCACCAAAGCAGTCATTTTCTTCTGGGACTTGACAGGACAGTTCGTCTATAGTTAGGCTGGGCTATCATCAGTTCAACTTGCCTTAAGGTAATGTGGCAAATCTTTTCCCACAGCTGAGTGACTTGAACCAGGTGGGATGCACAGTGAGCATGAAAGATGAGAAAAGGCGTGTGAGCATCTCTGGATTCTCTGAAATTTTAGCAAAGTTTGCAGCTATATTCTTGCAAGGCCAAACTCATTGCAAGCATCAGCAGACATTACTCAAATGACCCCATTAATACGTCTCTGTGCTTGCAATTGGTATTTCACCTGAACACTGCAAAACATACAGTTATTTCCTTTCTTCATAAGTGGGAAGTGTCTGGCAGTTACTGTGAAGTGATAGGGCCCATTTGTGAACCAGCTTATTAGGATGTACTATAGGTTTACCTTTGTAATGCTGAAGATTGCCAATGTTAAGAGAAGAACACTATCGTGAACACTGTAGGACAATTAGAGCAAAGCCCTGCATCAATTTCATGACTTCCATCTGAGCTAAGGATTTTTTTTTTTTTTTAAGATACCTAACCAAGATTTATAGTCTACAAGTCTTGGATTGTATGTTTAGGCAAGAGGTTCCAGCAATAAAGGTAGTTCCACTTTGTACAAATTCTGCACTTTGTTTCTGTCTAATTGTATCTATCTTCAGTGCCCAACTACTGGATTCTTTCCATTTTTCTCTAGTAGATTAAAAAACAAACAAAACAAAACTACTTTTCTCCTACCTGAAATCTTCTTCCCATGTAAGATACTTAAGGCTGGTATGAAGTTCGTACTTAGTGTTTCTTTTGGTTAAGTTAAAGAGATTTAGTTGGTCTTTAGCTGTTCATTTCTGAGGAAAGTTATCCACGATTAAATCATTCTTATAGCCCTTTTCAGAATTATTTTCATCTTTTCAGTAAGATTTTGTTTAAAGTGTGGATCCCAACAGAAAAAATGAACTAATAATGGAGTTACGAATACAACATGTAGCTGCAATAACATTTCTTTTAATTGATATGCATCCACAGTCTGCGTGTTAGCTCCTCTAATTGCATTGATGTACTGCAGAATCATTTTCTGATAAGCCTTTCAGAATTCAGTGTTCCACAACCTACTTATGACTAACATTCATGGCTGCTAACACACAAATTTGCATTTAAATATGCTGTATTTGTTTCCAGGTGAGCTAGAGAGTCAGGAAATGTCTGACATGTTTCAAACATTGCAGAACTGAAGAAAGACCATCTTGTTGCAGGGGAGGCCGGGTATCAAATTAGTAGCAATTACCTGGAAATATTCTGTCCTGGTTTAGTTATCTTGACGTATGTATGTTTGTTTGTTCGTGTGTGTGCCTGAACAAGTTCTTGTAAGCACATGTATAACTCTACTTAATGCAGCTCTCTCTATTTCATATTTAGTCACTCTTACTGTATTTATCACAGGGATCGTATGCAACTCTGATTAGAATGATAAGCAGGAGAGACTTCATGCCTCCCAGCCTCCCCCAGCTAAAATCAGCTAATGGTGACACTTCCTCTCAACAACCCCCACTCTGAAGAAGGTCTACAGCAAAACAGGATATTTACAAAAAACCCGTAAATGAAGAGGTGGTGAAGTCGAAGCCAGAAAGATTCCTTTTCTCTTGATCAGTTTGTGAAATATTGTAATTATTTTACTATTTAATTCAGAAAAGGGACACGTAAGCAGGCATAATTACAGGAAAGAGGTTGATATGTGGATGCTGCTGTCTAGCTTTGTGAAATCTGGGACTGGAAGGATACTCTTGGTCATGGAGTCCAGCTCCTGCTACTGTAGCCATCACATCATTTAATCCCTTCAGTAAAACAGTCCTAATGATTGAAATATCACAATCCTTGCTAAGCGTGGGCTTTTTCTCACTCACTCTTATTCAAGACTACTTCAGATCCTTTGTTGGTTAGAAACTGCGATCTTATTCTATGGCCAGGCGATACCCGTCTCGTGCCAGTCTTGTGCCGATGCTGTACTTAGTGTTTCTCCAATCCTGGCACTTCTTTCTCTCTTTTCCCTAGATTCTTCTGAAAGAGCGATCATAACTGCTGGCAACTTTTGGTTGTTTTTTCTTTTTTGCAATAACTAAGCTAAACTCTTTCAAGGCAGAACATTCTCACAGCCTCTCATTACCTCAGCCCAGGAGCTCAGTTCAGTGTCCATGCTGGGCAAGCAGTGCAAACAGTGTTCCTCCAATATTTTTTTAATTTTTCAAGTAACTGTTTTTATCTATACTTATTAGTGGTCTCTGTCTACAAACTCACTCCACGTTTTCCGGGTTTTCTGAGTCATGGGCTCCTTAGAGCAGCACACTACCTGCAGAGGTGCGGGGCTTGTTTGCTGCATTAAGATAACGGCAAATATTGCAAACTGGAAGCACCTTAAAGAAAACATCGTATATTGCTGAGTAGATCAGGTTAGGATTCTTCACATTAAACTTTTTTTGCTGGAAAATCATCAAATCATAACCTTTTTATGAAAAAGTATCATTTTAAATTATCATCAGGAAAGAATTCACAGAATGGAATTTCTGTTTAAACAGAAAGAGAGGGAGTTTAGCTTAACCTTGTGGAGTGTTCCATGTTGCAGAAGACACAAATATCCCTACACAACTCTTCAGTAAACTGAAGTAATAACTAGGCCTTAAGTATTCTATATCCCCAATGAGTGCTTTGACCAGGAGCATACCAGCTATTCTTTCTGTTTCTGTCTTTTGGAGTTTTCTTTTACAGCAAGAAAATGCTTATGGGAAGGAAATATGATCCCAAGATTCCCATACTGCAGATAAGCCACTTGGTTATTTGCTTGGAATTGTAGCTTCTTGTGTTTGCGTGTCTGAGAGAGAAAACTATGACAGGTCTTAGTTCTGCTCAGATATGAAATAAGTGAATATCTAAAACAGAAAATCTATAGGCTAGAACACCCATTTCTATCCCAGTTTTTGGTCCTGACCTCAAACCCTTTCACACTAGCTCAGGACAACTCCAAGTGGCTTGCAGAAAGGCTCCCTCAGAAGTTTGGTGACACCAGTAGGTCAAGCAAGTGTTCCTCTAGTGAAGAGAAAGAGGAGGTGCAGAAGGCCAGTTACTCAACTCCCTCAAGGAAAAAAAGAAACATCATTAAAGGCAGGCAGCAGTGTTTGTGGTGTAGATGGCTTTCAGCAGGTGACTACTCCTGATGGACACGAAAATCTATTGAAGTCTTGAACATGCAGAAATTATGTCTGCTCGAGGAGGCCCCTGAGCTGCAAATGTCTGAAGGCTGAGAATGTTCTCGGAGAAGAACATCTATGCTTCCTCTATTGCTACGGTTTTCTCTAAGCATCTGGTTTTGGTTACTGTCAGAAATAGGATATGGAGAAACATGAACATTAGTTCCAGCCCACTGTGGCTCTCTACTGCTCTTAAGTTGTCATAAACCAGATGCCAAAATATGCAGGAAGAAGGGAAAATGGACACTGCCCCCCACCCCCAATCGAATGGCAGGAATTAAAGATATCCTTCCAGGCAGCTGGTGCTCTAGCTTCCTGTGAAAGGTATTATTTACTACCATGAGAAGAACAGTTCCTGGAGAAGAAATGATACAGCTGAGTTGGTGCCCTGTCTGACAGTCAAGGCCAGCTTGTGTCAAGGCTGAAGCTGCAACCTGCTGGTACAAATACTGACGAAACTGCTTCTAACAATTTCTCTGTTTTAGATACTGTGTGGAATGGGAGATGTGTGGCAGATGGGGCTCCAGCTGTGCATTACTGCTGTGCTGCTCTTTGGTGGAGGAGAAGGGAGAGGTAAGAGGAAATTTGGAATAGATCCACTATGGGAAAAGAGGCACATGTGTGTGCTCATTTTTCATTCACAGACCCTAAGGTGTACAACACAAGATCTTGTGACTGCCCTTCCCCAGGTCCCAGGAGTCAGTACAGCTGGCTGGCAATGCCAGGCCTGGGGAACTGAGCACGTACTGGACAAGCTGGGCAGCGGAAAAATGGAGCCACTGCCAAAGGTCCCTGCCCTAAGATCTTACGTTCATCTCATGCAGTGTGATACAAGAGTGGAAGAACATCATGAGGAAGGATAGATGAGGTGTCAGTAAAGGAAGCACTGGCAAGTAACGTGCTCCACGTGCCACGTGAGGCCTCATCAGGTGGTATATGAATGCAGCTCTGGTCTTCCTCCTCCGCAGAGTTTCCTGGCAGCCTGATCTGTCTGAACAACTATGTGACCACCGTGAGCTGCATGTGGGCAACGGAGGAGCCTGTGGGCGATGGACCTTTCCACCTGCACTTCACCAAGTAAGAGCTGCGCACCACCAGCTGTCTAGTGCAGCCCCAGCCTGGGCACAGGCAGGAACATGCCGAGGAGCAGAGACGAGGCCCAGCATGAGCTTTGCTCCCTGTGCAGCAGGAGACACGTGGCACACTGTGCCACTGCACCGCCCTGCGCCCCAGCTGCCCCCAAAGCTGCTGCCTTCATGCTGCTTTGTGGGCCCGCACCCTTGCGGGGTGCAGCAGAGGTCCGGCACACACGGCTGTGTGATCTCATGCCCACTCAGGGCAGTCTGTCGGTCCAGTGTCCCCTTCTGGCAGAGAGCATTCCCATCCCAGCCTCCGCTCCCCATGATCTGGGGGCTTCCAGAGCCCATCCTACATCAAGCTGCCTAATCAGTTTCTAGTCACTTCTTGTCTTTTTGCCTCAAAATTAATTCCCTAGTGGTTTAATCTAAATTAGTTAAGATATATATACAAAAGGATTTTGAAAGTCCAGTGAGTTATAAGCTTTAATAACAGATTTAGAATATTATGTGAATAATTTTTTCTCTAACAGAAGAAATCAGGTGAATGGTTTGCCAGGTGATGGGATAATAAGCATTGTGGTACGCTAATTTGAGATGAATGCATTTAGGTTATATAATAACATTGTCTTGACTACCAATAACTACTGAACTATTACATGAGGGTGAGCCACACTGACGTTAGATGCCTCATATAATCTGGTAAGGTTAAGTCAGAAATAGCCTAACTTGTAACGATACCGGCTTTTAAATCTATGAGAAAACGGCAAGCTGATAAACTGTGGTATCCCAGTTTATCATGGGGTCACATGCACAATGAAAAATTTGCTAATAAATGGCTACGTTAGATAATTTAATAATAGAAGTCTATTTCCCCAAGATGATATTTTCTGTCATTCATCCTGCTATGCTGTGCTGAAGCTTGTGAATATTCAAAAAACCCCAACAAACAACAAACCAACTTCTAACATGTTTTGCTGTCAGTACTGGTTTGTTCATAGCAAAAGAGGCTTTAATGCACAACTTGTTAGTTGTGCATTGGTAAGTAACTGCCCACCCACTCCTACCCCCATACACCAGCTGCTTTTCGGGCAGCAACACATAGCAGCCCTCTCACTTTCAGAGGGAGCAGGGGGCAGGTACTGGGCTCTGTGTGCAGCTCCTGGGAAGCCTGGTGCTCTCAGCAGTGAGATGATGAAGGTATTTCCTTCCTCCTTCTTCAGCCCTGCCATCCAGCCAGCTTTAGCATTGCTTTCTCTGCTGTCTGCACTAAAGAGATTCATGTTTTTCCAGAACGTGGGGCTGTGCTAAGCTGTCACCCATCTTTCATAAACTGAAAAGCACTTGATCGTATGACTTAAAAGAAACTTTCAGCCCTTTTGTCCTTCTAGCCTCTGGTCAAAGGGCCAAAACGCCAGCTGCAAACTGACTGCCAAAGAGAGCATGCGGAATCAATACCACTGCATAATCCATTTAGCCAGCCAGATCTTGGAAACAGATGGTTATAGAGTCTCTCTCCAAGGGAACTTCTTTGGACATAATCACACGTACATTACCTTTCCAGAGTACAGTCCCCGGAAGCACAGTGAGTATGAATCAGGGCAGCTGTGGGCTGAGGCTCTGCCTAGCAGCCTTGAGGTACGTCTGACTGTCTAACAAAGGTGTCTCAAAGGCAGCGAGTGAAAATCATGGAAACAAGCCAGAGTGCCCATCCTTGGAGAGTGCACTATGTGGACTTCATCAGTAAGGATGCAGTCCCAGTGTGTCTCTGTTCTGATTTTTCCAGGACTTCAGAGAGGGCTGACTCTGGAGTACTTTCAAGTATACTTCTCATCTGCATCAAGTTTTCTTGTGCCATGGATAACGTACAATGTGATTGCCTCTATAGTTGGATTTTTTCCTAAGAAATAAAGTCACGAGGAATCAGAGTCATGGACCTAATTCAATGTCCCATGGCCTGGTACTTCAGAGAAATGCTCTAGCATTTGAAATCCCAGATCCTGTCTATATTAGTGGTATGTTGGAAAAGCAGAATGTGGCATCCAGAGTGGTTCTTTGCTTGCAGAACTATCCCCAGGGGCTCTTAGAGTTATCATTAATTTATGTCAGTTCTGTAGCTGTTCTGACCCACCCTGTAAGCTAATTTGGTCTACTGCTGGTCTTAGTACCACTCTTTAGACCCAGCTTTATCTTCCAAGACTTTAGTCAGCCTAGTATCATGCATCGCCTCCTGTGGTGTTCATGTCCCAAATATTGTGAAAAAACCTACCTCTCTATTTGCAGTAAAACTTGATCCACCTTTGAACATCCAGAGCAACGTCACTGCCAGCAAGTGTCAGATATGGTGGAGTGTGCCTTGGTACCTTGTTGAAATTCTTCAATATGAGTTGCAATATAAGGAGTACAGCACATCCTGGGAGGTAACTGAATGAGGCACTCACTTATACTGCCTTGCTCTTCGGGTGCAAAGGCCTCGCTGCTCAGCTCAGGGCCGTCTGGCAGCTGACTGCTTTAAGCTGGGCTTTCTGGTTTCCCACATCAAGGCTGAAATATTTTATATAAAACATCAATACTGAAGATCAATAAATCTTCTCCTGAACCCTGCACTCAGAAGTCATCCATCATCATGCAGGCCCTCTTCTTGCATTCAAGAAAAGAGGGTTTGGAAAAGAAAAGGGCGGGGAAGAGTATTTAAAAGATCATCCCTTTGCCTGGCCTTGTTAACAGAAATGCTTTGTAATACTTTGCAGATCGCGTTGAACAAGACACTGTCCAGTTCACTACCACAGGTAGAAATTGAAGTCACAGAGCTTCACAGTGGTGTTGCTTACATTGCACGAGTTCGCTGCAAAGTTTCTGAAAATGAGGACTCGTACCATAGTCAGTGGAGCGAGTGGAGCCAGACAACAGTGTTTCAAAAAGCAGGTACAAAGAATGTTGTTTTTATCTTAATTCGCGTCTCTTCATGCCCCTGTTCCAAAAGAAAAAGAAGTTACCTGGTAAAAATGAAGCTTTTCCAATCAGAACTACCTTCCTTCAAGTTTTCATAGCCAAATCACTTTCCTTGAGGTCTTTAGCAGCCTATTTAATTTGCATTGTGTGGTTATTTGGGGCTCTATCTTGACTTCCAGACTTTTTATCAATTACCATTCTATGATTTTTGTGTTGATTCTTTTCCTAGGTGTACCAAAACTGTCTGAAAAGATCCTAAATACCAGAACTATGCATTTCTTGTTCATTCCTCTGAGTTTTGGCACTTTACTCTATTTATTTTGGAACTGCAAGCTTTCTTCAAGGTGAGTTTTAGCTTTTTATTAAGTTCCCCTTGATCTTTATAGCCTGAAGAGGGTAAATCAAGTGTCCTTATATCCCTTTTGCTTCCTATTTCTGCTGCACAGATTAAATTGTTTTTAAAAGCTCTTTTGATGATCTTGGGACACGATATGTTCCTTGGCTGATGACAGTTCAAGACTCATTACACAATCCTTAAGGAGACCAAAGCTCCTTTGTGGCACCCACACTCAGCTGAAGCTCAAGGCTGAGGGTCTCAGGAAGTTAAAGAAATTTAAAAAATATATGGAATTTTTTTTTTCATTTTCATGTAGATAAATCAAAAGTGTAGATATGCAGCAATCCATAAAGGTGGTTAAACTGGTATCAGTCAATGTTAAGCTACTTGTGACACACCTGGCAGCAGTCAGTATGTAAAATACCAACATAAGCAAACTACACTGACTTAGATTCAGTGTTTCTTAGGTTCTGGAACCAAGTTGTACAGAGAAAAAAGTGTTTCTAGAACGTTGGTTCAACCATCCTCTGCAATTTTTTATGCTGGCAGAGCAAAGGTAACTCTCATGCTTCTTCCTTTTCTGCCTTGATATACACTATTATGCTCCATACACATATCACTCTTAGAAACACAGAATACATGACATCAATATGATAAAATATTTTTACAGGATAGACTCTAATAAAGGGGCTAGAATGTCTGGCAGAATTTCTCTGTCTAAATGTAATGAAACTAGAACTCTCTAAAACACTTCCAGAAACAGCGATTTAGATCAAATAAGTTGCTAAACAAATGCATAAATAGCTCAGTGCATATAATGAGTAATAGACTAGTATCGCGTTCGCAGCATATAGCATTCCTCAGAAACTTTTAAGACTGCGCTTCAGCCTAGAAACATTAAATGCATGCACAGGAGGCAGACAAAAAAATTGCATGAGATGTCAGAAATCATGTGAAATGAGCTTCTCATTCAACCTTTCTAATGTAAGTGTGGGGCTTTCATCTAATCAGTGTGCTATATCATTGAGACAGAATACAGAAAAATTTTCTGCTTTTTTACTTTAAGTGTTGTTTTCTCACTACAGGGCAAAAAGCCTCTCCTGCTTTAACATTCCCACACCAGCTGCTTTCTTTCAGCCACTCTATAATTTCCACAATGGGAATTTTAAGGTAAGAAAAAAGTTTCATTTCTTTCTTATGACTCTCATTTCGTGAGGGGAGGATTTTTTTTTCTGGGATTAATCATTCTAGCTCCCAAGCAGAGTTACTGACACATGGTTCTGGTCTTCCTGGGAGTTCACAGTTTCTTAGTTTCCTGCCTCCACATACTAGCCACATCACCAGAGCTTCTTCCAGCTTCTCTCTCCTTAGAAATAAAATTCCTCCAGTTACTCCCTCTCCATGCTGAACATGAAAGGTGTGTCCTGTGTGCCCTTTTGCAGAGCCAAAGCAATAGAAGCAGCTTGCAGTATATCCTGGAGGTGAAATCTTGGCAATTTCTTGTGAAATCTTGTGAAATTAGCAGCTAGATTCTCTACCCTATTACTCTAACTTTTCCCAGTAGATTTGCACTAAACCTCTGGATTATTGTGCCAAAGCCATATAGAAAGAACAGGTATTTTGCAAATTCCAACTCTAAGCAAAATGTCCTGAACTTACTGATCCTTTCACTAGGAGTGGGTTGGACCTAATGAGGCTTGTACTCAACTCAGAAGAGAAGAGGCCAGCAACTCAAACAAAATGACTGCAGATGGAACTTCTGATCTAAACACCCAAGAACTCATTTCCCAGATCTCCTTGAAACCTGTGGAAAACACAAATATGGTTGCTGCAGAAGACGACTTTGTATTTGCCTCAGGTCCAAGCCAGCAGTATGTCCCCAGCAGGTATGTAAGAGCAGAAGAGATAGAAGTGAGGCTGGGACTATTGTTTGCACAAAACCATGCCGATGATACAGTTGGCCTGAAAACCTCTGAAATAATTAAAGCTAATCTTAAGAGCCCTAGCATGAGAAGGCATTATCCCTCTGACTCACAGCATGGAAAGGAGGGTGACTTCCTTATGCTTCAGGAATCTTTGGAGATGGCAAACGTGTCCTTCGGCAATAGCGACTATTGTACC